CTACTGTTTCGATTGATAAATCGATTTTGCCTACTGTTTGGATTTTGCCTACTGTTTCTCAACACACTCGATTTTGCCTATTGTTTCATCTGATATGTAGTTATGTACTTGAAATGTCACTAGGGGTAAATTGGTCATTTTAATCAGTTCGGTCCTGTTCTGTCCTATCCTGTCATGTCTTACCAAACGTTGAACACTTGTCATGTCCTGTTTTGTCATGTCCTGTCCTGTTCTATCATGTCATGTCCTGTCTGCGTACCAAACGCATCCTGAGTGTTTTACTGATGACCCAAGCCACAGGTGAAAAGGTATTCACTTCCTGTTGTATTCTCCCAAGTGGGTTACATTTGTCTGGTTTTACTAAACCATGTTTTCTGTAACCACCTTGAATGTTTTCCTGGACAGTGTATTTTTGGTCCCTTTAAAATATATAATATATTAGGTCCGGCCCCTACGGTTTGAAAGTTTGTGTTCCGCCCCTGAGGACATAGTCATAAACAGAGTTGGTAACAAGTCAATAGTCATAAACAGAGTTGGTAACAAGTCAATAGTCATAAACAGAGTTGGTAACAAGTCAATAGTCATAAACAGAGTTGGTAACAAGTCAATAATCATAAACAGAGTTGGTAACAAGTCAAGTAGTAAGCTGTTCGAGCTCGAACAATTTTCAATGTTTAACCTCAACCTCGATCTTCATTTTAACAAATTTCAGTTAAATATTATTCCTAGAATTCAAGCATTATAAGTTCGAGTTCAAAATAGAGAAACTCGAGAATTCAACAAAAAAGGCAAAAAAAACTAGAGAGAGAAAAATTGCAAAGTTTGTAAAACAGATTTTTCAAAAGAAATTCAAAATAAAGAAATCAGAACTCAAAAAAATGAAAATTATATCTAGGGCTGTAAACGAACCGAACGTTCAGCAGACCGTTCGTGAACCGTTCGGCGGGAAGTTCGTTTATTTAATAAATGAACGGACATGAACAATTTTTTTGTTCGTTTAGTTAAACGAACGAACATGAACAAGAGTCCCGTTCGTTCATTTATGTTCATGAACGTTCATTMATTTACCATTCGTTTGTATATTAATATATAATTTTTTGTTTATTTACTTTGAATTTAAATAATATTTACTTATGTTTATTTAGCCCGTTTATTCGTTTACATTCGTTTAACATGTTAACGAACGAACATAAATGAACACGAACACACCTTATTTCTAATCGAACGAACACGAACACAAAGATTTTCGTTCGTTTACCGTTCGCGTTCGTTCGTTTGTTCGGTTAAGTTAAACGAACGAACATGAACAAGCCTCCGTTCGTGTTCGTTTGGTTCGTTTACTGCCCTAATTATATCTAACTCTAAAGTATTCTCTATTTTTTTATTAACCTGGATATCCAACCCGCTATGCGAGCCGACTAATCGCAGGACGACCACATGCTTTGCAGATAGCCCGGAGTCACCGCATTTGAACCTCCTTTGTCACAAGAGAATTTTTATTCCTAMTTGGATTTGAACTTGGGACCTCCTAGTACTTTTAATCTTTAAAGCAAAGCTCAAACCAATCAAACACAACCCTTATGATTTAGATTCTCTATTTCAGAAATTACACCAAATTTTGCTATAAAATTTAACCTCAAAGTTGGCGCAGTCATATATTGACCAGCCCTTCAAAAGCAACCCTTTTGTATCTTTGTGCTTTAATATGACAATATTACTATATTACCCTTCTTCCCTYACCTTTATTTGGTAAAACGAACTCCATCGTCCCTGGATTTCAATATTGAAGCTTTGGGGTTCATCCAGGATCTGGTTTTGATCAACACTGTGAGTATTATATTTTCCTTCTTATATGCTTTTGTTACTTATTATCTTCATTATGAATTATGAATTTTAWTTTTATTTTTATTTTTTTTCATAATCATATGTTATGTGAATGAGATTTATGGTTTAAGKTATAGGGTTTAGGGTAGTATAGTTTGTTAATTTTATTTATAAAATTGCTTGTTAGATATTAGGTTTTGCATCAGAAATTCATTTTACTTAGAATCGATTTAGAACTGAAATATTTCTACAGATAAATCAAAATATGTGTGTGTATACATAACATATATGAGTTTAATCATTTGAGAACTCTAGAAATTATGAGATCTATGAGAACTTTTTACTTTAAGGYTTTGTTTAACATGATCTTTTTCTATCGAAATATATTAATAAACATAAAATTTGTTTTACAATGTATTTGTTTATATGTATTCGGTTCACAAAGTGAAACTGTTTTATGTGTTTTTGTTTTACAAACACGCTAATAAGGTTCACCTTGTGAACGTACATATGAAACAAACACATCTTGAAACAAATAAATGTTGATCGATATTCTCACTCATAGTCTTAGATGAAAAGAAATTATATGAAATAGTACATGATGCACTAGTTCTCAAGATTATCACAATTTCACGATCTCTCAAAATAAAAGTCTCTCTATATATATAGTTTCTAGAAGGGTACTCGCACAATGCAGCGATATACATTTTGATTTTAATATTTCATTTTATTATTTATCTCAGTCGATGTTATAATATGGTCTTAATTATGTGATTATAAGAAAACGATTATGTTTTTATTTTTGAATAAAATATAAGTTTGAAGATATCATAAAAATTTGACAAAAATATATCGATATTAATATCAAATAACTATTTAAAATTCCTCATTTTTTGTGTAAATTTTCAATTCACTTTTTTTATAATTTAGTTTAGATA